ACTCTCAGTAGTGTAGTATTTGCTTTAGCAGCGCTTGCTACTTTGGCTTGACTTGCTGTAAATGGAGTTGAGGTTGCAAGAGAATCCTTTCCCTCAGTCAAGGACAGACAAAAACGTCAACACAAAAATCACCAACTGCGCCCCGAGAAAGAACGATCTGCCAATTTTGTACTGGGCCAACTGTTGGGACACTGGGGTATAGGAGAAAAACAAGCAGCTTAGGCCTGAAGTGAGCTCACAAGGAAAGTATTTTGCCCTGAGGGATGTTTATCTCCTAAATGTAGCTTATAAGCTCTTTCACAAATACTGCTCAGGCTCAGCAAGACAGAGGGACAGAGAGATTTTATACAGCAACAACGATTTCACTTCTGTGGATACACAAGTCTCTCCCTGTTGGTAAAACATGCATTCAAATATATAGTTCATCTGTAACCATTTATAAATTAGAGACATGTAACAGAGAGGTATAGAAATCCAGACATTGGCATCCTCTTCTTTTTTCATTTTCTTTTTTCTTTTTTTAAACTTACACATCTTTTTATTTAGCTACAAGCGTAGGGACAGTGCAGCTTTGCTAGGAGTGAATGAGAATTTGTTTGGATGAATGAAATTTTGTTTCAAGAGGAAATTGCTAAGAAATGTTTCTCCCTTCTTAGTTGTCACTGGTTTCTAATAAATTCTGGCTTTTTGGCTACAACGCATACCTAACATGCGGTTGAAATTGGTGCACTGGAGCATCTAAAATTGTTTCAACACAATCCAGGGAAAAATAGGTGCATCCCAGCAAACAGAGGACAGTTAATAGTACCTGTGATTTTTTTTAAACTGCTGTAAGTCAAATCCAACGCTTACCACTGTCACTGTAAGGAAAACTTTTTATAAACAACTCTTTGTAGCATATTTCTTCCAAGTTGCTGCAGTTTTTTTTTTTTTCTTACTATTGTTTTAAAACTCAAACAATCAATGGCTTAAACGCTGCTAGCAAAGTCAACCCCACCCCTCCAAAGTGGCCCCAACACTATCACCGTAGATTTGCCTTATACGTTTTCATCTTCCCCCAGAATACAGGACAATATTTCTTACCTATTTGGTCCTCTGGGATCAGTGACTCAATCGGGGGGTCGAGTTCGGAGCTTTGGGATAAATAGTTCTTGACCTGGGTCATGAATTGCCGGATAGTTTGCAGCATGTCCGTGCTCGAGACATGGCACTCCTTGTTTTCCTGGAGAAAGCTGACATAGTCCTGCACTAAGCATCCAAAGTAAGTGCGCTTGTCCTGGGACATCTCTGCGATTTTCTTTATCATCCTCTTCTCGGGGGTCATGAAGGAACTGAAAACTCCACTAACTTTCCGTAGCTGAGATTTCACAATCTTGGGGAGAACAAACGAGCTGTTTCTTTTCTTCTTGGGCTTCAGAGGGGGGGCCATGCTCTCCTGGTCGCTCTCCCCCTCAAAGTCCTCCAGGCTGCTGTTCGTGTCCCCCTCGTAGCCGAACAAGGGCATGCTCCGATCAAAGTCCAACGAGTCGGAGGAGGAGGTGGAAATGCTCATGTCGCTCAGCCTCTGCCTGCCTCCATTCCACGGCGCCTGTGACTCA